ACTATCCTCTTTCTTTGGCAAGGTAATGTGTAGAACAGGTGATTTTTAACTTCATGGAATGAAAAACAAAAATCAGCTATATTTATAAATCTTTAAAAATATTAATGGAATTGGTGAATGTTCAGTCTACAGCTACTATATTTAAATTATACTTAAGTTCTTTCACCACTGCAACAGTTACTAGTTTTATGCGGATTTTAATAGGTAGCATAATGAAGTTATATCCTGAACTGGTCTGACGCTGTCACCAATAGAACTTCATTTACTTCGGTGATAATAAAACACACGTGATCTCCAGCTGAAGCTGTTTGATTGCTCATGTTCTAACAGATCACCTGTTATCTAAATTATGTATGATAATGATCCTATGAGATCTAAATTAAGGTTATAATTCTCAGGAGGATGCAGAGTCTATGTAACCAAACCACATGTTCTGTAAAGCTGAAGACAGAAGGTAAAGTAATGATTTCCAGCCTGGAATAGTGAGGATTCATTCACATTTACAGCCAAAAGAGCAGTGCAGAAGCAAGAACACTGTGGCAAGAATTAGCCACAAGCCGTTGAACTCTGTTCCATTATTCCAGCATCATTTCCGAAGGCCATTATCCCCTTGCTCTCCTGTTTCTGGAACGTGGGCTTCTACAGAACACTCGTGTTTTCTGTGCTGCCTCCTGCTCCTATTCTCTTCATTAGTCCTGTTCTTGTCATATAGCAATTTAAGTACCAGCGCTCCACTGTTGTATGTAGCTCTGTCCTTCATTAGTTATGAAATCTGTACTTTGGGGATTAGCACAGGCTCACATATTTTTCAACAATCGGATAATAAGCCTTATTTTTAATACTTCAAGGTAATGATTGAATAACATTTCCAATTTGGTTAATTCCATGAAATTTAGGTAGGGAATGCATGGAAGAGAAATCATAAGCAGTATTCAAAGAGTGTCCCTACATGTCATGTTCAATATATAAGTAAGAAGTACTACATTGCAGACTTTGGCCTGTTCAAGACGCTGGTTGAGAGCATAGCTTGGGAGAGAGTGCTGAAGAGCGAAGGGGTCCAGGAAGGCTGGACAGTCTTCAAGGAGGAAGTCTTAAAGGCACAGGAGCAGGCTGTCCCCATGTGCCACAAGATGAACCGGCGGGGAAGTCGACCAGCCTGGCTGAACACGGAGCTCTTGCCAGGACTCAGGAATAAAAGGAGGGTCTACCACCTATGGAAGAAAGGGCAGGTGACTTAAGAGGAGTACAGGGATCTCTTTAGGTCATGCAGAGAGGAAATTAGAAAGGCAAAAGCCCAGCTAGAACTCAGGCTGGCCACTGTTGTAGGGGACAACAAAAAAACTTTTTACAAATACATCAACAACAAAAAGGGAGCCAAGGACAGTCTCCATCCCTTATTGGATGCTGAGGGGAGTATTACCAACAAGGATGAGGAAAAGGCTGAAGTACTTCATGCCTGCTTTGCCTCAGTCTTCAATAGTCAGACTGGTTACCCCCAGGGTAGTCAGCCCCCAGTGCTGGAAGACAGGGAACAAGTGTAGAACAAACCTCCCATAATCCAGGAGGAAGCAGTTAATGACCTGCTGTGCCACCTGGACACTTACAAGTCCAGGGGGCCAGATGGGATCCACCTGAGAGTACTGAGGGAGCTGGTGCAGGAGCTGGCCAAGCCACTCTCCATTGTTTATCAGCAGTCCTGGCTAACAGGGAAGGTCTCAGATGACTGGAGGACTGCCAGCATAACACCCATCTATAAGAAGGGCCAGAAGGAGGGTCCCAGGAACTACAGGCCTGTCAACCTGACCTGAGTGTCAGGCAAGAATATGGAGCAATTCATCCTTCCTGAGTGCGCTCACCGGGCATGGGAAGGACAACCAGGGGATCAGGCCCAGCCAGCATGGTTTCATGAAAGGCAGGTCCTGCTTGATCAACCTGATCTCCTTCTATGACCAGGTGACCCACTTAGCAGATGAGGGAAAGGCTGTGGATGTTGTCTGCCTGGACTGTAGTAAGGCCTTTGACACTGTTCCCCACAGCACCCTCCTGGGGAAACTACCTGCCCATGGTATGGATGGGTGTACTCTTCGCTGGATAAAGAACTGGCTGAATGGCCAAGCCCAGAAAGTGGTGGTGAATGGAGTTAAATCCAGCTGGTGGCCGCTCACGACTGGTGTTCCCCAGTGCTCAGTTTTGGGTCCAGTCTTGTTTAACATTTTTATTAATGATCTGACAAGTGCCAGGTCCCGCACGTGGGTCACAACAACCCCACACAATTCTACAGACTTGGGGAAGAGTGGCTGGAAAGCTGCCTGGCAGAAAAGGACCTGGCAGTGTTGGTCGACAGCTGGCTGAACATGAGCCAGCAGTGTACCCAGGTGGCCCAGAAGGCCAACGGCATACTGGCTACAGTGTGGCCAGCAGGAGTAGGGAAGTGATCGTGCCCCTGTACTCGGCACTGGTGAGGCCACACCTCGAATACTGTGTTCAGTATTGGGCTCCTCACTACAAGAAGGACATGGAGTTGCTGGAGCGTGTCCAGAGAAGGGCAGTGAGGCTGGTGACAGGTCTAGGGAACAAGTCTTACAAGGAACGGCTGAGGAAACTGGGATTGTTTAATCTGGAGAAGAGGAGGCTGAGGGGAGACCTTATTGCTCTCTACAACTCCCTGAAAGGAGGTTGTAGTGAGGCAGGGATTGGTCTCTTCTCCCAGGTACTTAGCGATAGTACAAGAGGCAATGGCCTCAAGTTGCATCAGGGGAGGTTTAGATTGGAAATTAGGAAAAACTTCTTTATTGAAAGAGTGGTCAGGCATTGGAACAGGCTGTCCAGGGAAGTGGTTGAGTCACCATCCCTGGAGGTGTTTGAAAAACATGTAGATGTGGCACTTCGGGACATGGTTTAGTAGGCATGGTAGTGTTGGTTTGACAGTTGGACTTGATGATCTTAGAGGTCTTTTACAACCTTAATGATTCTATGATTCTATGGATTTGGTAGCAACCTTTATGTACTTAAATAACTTGAAAATGTGGAATGTCTTCTCCAACCGGTTTTTTAGTTTCGATGTATGTTATTCAATTACATGTTTAGTCACCATCCCTCGAGGTGTTAAAAAAACCGTGTAGATGTGGCACTTCAGGATATAGTTTAGTAGGAATGGTGGTGTTGGGCGGATGGTTGGACTCAATGATCTTAGAGGTCTTTTCCCACCTATGATTCTATGATCAATATTTTCCTCTTCTTTCCCTCCCAACTGTGGCTCCTTTTTGTCTTCGTCTTCTCTCCGTTTCCCAGCTCTTAATTCCAGTCTGTGAGTCTGTCCTCTAGTACTAGCCATGCAAGCATGTCTTCACACAACACAGTGACCTCTGAGCATGCCGCAGTCCCCCTTCCATGCAGCAGGACTGCTTAGCTTAATTTAATCAGTCCAACTTGCCATTCTGGCTAGCAGGTCTCATTCACCTATGCTACTTTTTACCTGCTGGAGGAAAATGGATAGAAGCAGCGATCCAGTTGAAAAATACCTAATTCTGATCCCTTCCTCATATCTTCCCACCTCCCACACGCCCAGTGTGCTAAGACAGAAAAGGAGACCACAGGGGGACCACTGCAAGCCACAGATCCCACTCTGCCACCAGAAGAAATCAAATCAAACCTACATTAGATATAGACATATGTTTATGGAGTAAAGTCCAGCAAGATCTGCAGAATTAAGAGACAAAGACTGTTGAAGACTTCCAGGTCCTGACTTCAACAGCCCTACCAGTCCATCATCTTTTTTCCCCTCACCAATAGCAAAGGATAGGAGAAATAGGCTTTCCTCAGAGCTGAGTCATTGAGTTTTGTCCGTTTTTTCTGGACAAGCATTTAACACAGGGTTTATCGTCACCTGAGTGGTGGTAACAGAGCACACTGTAAAGCCTTCTCACCTTCTTCAGGATGTCATCTAGGGAAATTGTCATATGAGTGAACTCCAAAGAATGAGCATATTTCTCTTCAACTGCCAGTTCTCTTTTGCATAGCACTATGAAACTAAACTTACACTGACTCACAAATAATATGGTCTGATACTGCAGGGTGTTTACTGTTTCCTTGCCCTTAAATAGGAAACAAAATGTAAATTTTTCCTATTATTATTCTCCATATTTCAACACGAAAGATTTCATATTTTATTCAGCTTTCAAATCTGCTATTCACTCCCTCGTGAAAAATAGGAACATTTAGTTCTTCAGACCTCTTATTACATGAGTTTTATTTTTCTCTGTTACCAAGGCCTCCACTCAGTTACCTCAAAATACTTAGCCTTTTACCTCAGAAGAACTTTCTGAAAGTACAGTTTTAGAAGAAACAGCTGTACAAGCCACATAATTGTTTTTATGGACAACCACATTAAGCTTCAGATAAATAATATGAAATTAAAATAAAGGAAAAACAGAGGTACAATCAACAGGTGGAACGAGTGGTCCTGGTTTCTCTGAGTGCTACAGAGAGCTTATGACACTTCCCTTCAGATATTCAGCCTTACACAAAACCAAACCTCAAAAAAAGAGGAGCACGGGTGACAATATGTAAAACTAAGGCATGTATTTTCATTTCTTTTTAGCTTTTATACTTCAGTTTAAACCCTGACCTCAACTTATGAAAAAGGACAGAATGTGGTTCACTGCTAGTATAACAATACTCATTTAAAAGTCAACAATTTCCCATGAAAAGTTCTGCCATCCTACCCACAACTAATTACAGTACAAAATGAAATCCTAGCAGTCTAAAAAATCCCACAAGTTCAATCATATTTTAAAAAATTAGATGATTAAGAATTGCAAAGCACTTTTCTTTTTGTGGAGCAAAATATGTCAAAGAATCTATCTGTCTAGCATCTGGACAAGGCTATTACAATTTGTCGTTACTGCACTGTAAACAGAGCATAAGCTCTGATGTCATTATACATACCATCATACTCTGGAAAATAATCAACTAGATGGGAGTACATAATTTTCTCCTCTAAAAGATCTTTTTTATTTAAGAACAGAATGACTGACGAGTTCTGGAACCATGGATATGTGATAATTGTCCTAAAGAGCGCTTTGCTTTCTTCCATTCGGTTCTGGAAAAAAAAAAAGAGAGTGGCATTTTGGCAGTCATGAAAATAAGTTTTAACAATTTTGAAATAAATTCATGCAATTTCACTTTGTTTGAAAACAGTTCCATTTCATGTTTTGCACCTTCCTACCAATAAGTAAAATTCAAGTAATTAAATTACAATTAAGAAGTAAACAGTTACTTAAATATGCAGGCATTTTCCTTTTGCAAATTCAACATCTCAAGCATAAGTATTCTTTAAAACACAGGTCATGAACACAAAAGCTGTAACAGGTACATTTGTAAAGTCTGAGTATGCAGTTATGACTAGGCAACAAACTGGTGGGTACTGAAATGCATGTGATTCATGGTAGGAACAAGTATACCACAGCAAGACATAATAACCAATTCAAGTTTTAAGAACATTATTTATTTTATAGGCCTTTGCTGAACTTTAAATGCAGAGTTAGGTAATTCTTAGAAAGAGGTCAACTTCACAATATTTGCAAATAAATTTGGAACCTGAGAACATTTTGTCAACACCAAAGGCTTATGACATAAAATCTTAAAAATCTGTGAATGTCTAAATTTGTCTCTCACATAATTGGGCTAGCCTTTACTTTAATTGCTTAACTGTTCCTGAAAACCACTTTGCGTTACAGCTGAAGGGTAAGCGAACCTACAGTTCTATCTGTAACACTTTTCTGTCACTGTAAAATTCCGTTATGATTTGATACAGTTCTGAAGAACTGCTAGGCTGACATGGAGTGATTAATACAGAGTCAGAACAAACTGAGTTCAAAAGAAAGGAATTAACTTACTCTTCCTGCAGATTCTGCTGTTGCTCAGCCATACAACAATCTGTCAGATAACTCTGACATTTTTGCAGTAAGTGTATCTTTCCTTGCATTAATTTGCATTTTAAACAGACCAACATAAGCATGAAGAATAGGAACTTAAAAAACAAACACACACACCAAAACAATACAACCACCAAAAAAACCTTAAAAACAAGCACTAAAAAAAATTCCATTTTCTAGATGTTGATGGTTTGGTCTCTTACATCACCACAGAATCTTCAAGCAATTTACAAAACTCTACCACGTGCTGGAGTGGTGGGTGAAAATAAATAGCCGAATTTATAGATTGACAAACTAATGCAGAGGAGTAAAACCCTTGCTTTATTGCAGTCAGTTCTTACCATTCACATGGATTTCAATGGTGCCAGGATTTCATTCAGAAACAAGAAAAACTGAAAATGTCAGCAGAGCTGAAAGTCCGTAGACTAGCTGTTAATCAGACCATGTTTTCTTCTCAACATTGTATATAGACTTCTTCTCTAAAGAAGGCCTTACAGAAAGGCAATGGGAACTACATCGGATAGTTTTCAGTTTTACAGCTGATGTAAAAGAGGAGGCAATGTAAACTTACAAACTACGGTTTAAATTATAAATATTTACCTAAACTCATTAACACTTGGTATATTCTAATCTGACACTCAGAAAGTGAAACAGTGTCCTGACTCAATTAGCAGTGTTCTTTCACAGTAAATTTATAGTGCTATTGAAAACTTCTCAGTAAGAAACAGGCACAGAAAACAAAATTTAGAGTACGTGTTCCTGCTTTTAACAAAAACCCTTCAGGAGGGCTGCAGTATTTCAATCTATAATACTATTTTTTTTCCATATATGTAACACAGAATTGCAAAGACAAAAGTAACTAACTAGGTTTGGATAAATTTATGACCCTTCCCCAGGAAAGCTCAAGAAAACTGTGTTTTGCAAACATTGTTATTAGATCCAGAGAACATTTTGAATTTCTCTTTGAAAGGGATGCCAAACAAGATGAAGCAGAAAAGGCACGCAAACTAAAGCTACATTGATAACATGCCTAAAACAGTTTCTGGCATCCTACCAGCTAAAACATTAACTCTGTAAAGAACAAAAATCTGTGTCTTCAATTTAAGAAGAATACGTCTTGTGTTCTGTGTTAATTATGAATTCTATATAATATGAATTGTGTTTCACAGAGTCACTTTTTTCCTATCATAAATTTATAAATGTCTCTCAAGTCCTTTCAGACTTGACTTGAAGTATCTGACTTAAACCTCTCCTTGATGAGACATCTACTAAGGATTCCATTTAAGAGACAGATCAGAGATGAAGCGGGTTTCCATGATTCCAAAGATAATTCAATGAATTCAAAACCAATCTGGGATGCCAAAAAAGGATATCACTAAGAAGGCAGTGGGAAAGACCTGCTTCAGAAAAAATATTGTTATATCAAAGGAAGTAATTACAGCCTTGAACAGTTTACGGTATTAGTCAATATGTGCAGTCTAACATAACTGAAAGAAAAGCTCAACTGCTCTAGAAAAAATACATAGTTCAGGATGTCAGTAACTGAGGTCAATAAAACATTACCAAACTATCCCAGCCTCATTCACTTCACTTTGCTTCGCTTCACTTTTCACTTCGCTCTTCAGCATAGAAGCCACTCGCCTCCAGGAGTCACCCAGTTAACTGTATTTCCAGGAGGTGCCAGGCTAAATCTGAATCTATTCCTGATTATGGGAGAACAGGCTTTAGAGAGGCAAAAGCAGTAGACTGTTGCCCTTGCTAATTTTGTATTAAATTACCCAGTCCTAAACAAAAATTGTGGGAAATGGTAAAAAATGCACATTAGATTGCCAGAGCCCACTGAAATAGAATTAATTCTTATAGCATGAGGATCTTGCCCTGTACAGTCGTACCACCTGAGGATATTGGGAAGGTAAGACACTAAAGTCTTGTGCACCAAACAGTAGCTCTGAGGAACAGTAACTACCTTGGTATAGACATTATTTCAGGGTGTACATCTCTACAGAACAGCCCTTACTGCACCTCTGTGCCTGGGAAGATCATGGAACAGATCCTCGTAGAAGATATGCTAAGGCACATGGAGGCCAGGGAGGTGATTCGAGACAGCCAGCATGGCTTCACCAAGGGCAAGTCCTGTCTCACCAGCCTAGTGGCTTTCTATGATGGTGTAACAAGAGTGGACAAGGGAAAACCTATGCACGTCATCTATCTGGATTTTTGTAAAGCCTTTGACATGGTCCCCCACAACATCCTTCTCTCTAAATTGGAGAGCCATGGATTTGATGGGCGGACCGTTCGGTGGATAAGGAATTGGTTGGATGGTCGCAGCCAAAGGGTAGTGGTCAACGGCTCAATGTCCAGATGGAGACCAGTGACGAGTGGAGTCCCTCAGGGGTCCATACTGGGACTGGTGCTGTTCAATATATTTATCAGTGACATGGACAGCGACATCGAGTGTACCCTCAGCGAGTTTGCAGATGACACCAAGCTGAGTGGTACGGTTGGTACACCAGAAGGACGGGATGCCATCCAGAGGGACCTGGACAAGCTGGAGAGGTGAGCCTGTGTGAACCTCATGAGGTTCAACAAGGCCAAGTGCAAGGTCCTACACCTGGGTCGGGGTAATCCCCGCTATCAATACAGGCTGGGGGATGAAAGGATCGAGAGCAGCTCTGCTGAGAGGGACTTGGGGGTACTGATAGACGAAAGGCTGGGCATGAGCTGGCAATGTACTGCGTTCAGCTCTGGAGCCCTCAGCACAAGAAGGACATGGAACTGTTGGAGCGGGTCCAAAGGAGGGCTACAAAAATGATCCGAGGGCTGGAGCACCTCTCCTATGAGGACAGGCTGAGAGAGTTGGGCTTGTTCAGCCTGGAGAAGAGAAGGCTGCGGGGACACCTGATTGCAGCATTTCAGTACTTAAAGGGAGCCTATAGGAAAGATGGGGACAATCTTTTTAGTAGAGACAACAGTGACAGGACGAGGGGTAATGGTTTTAAACTAAAACAGGGTAGGTTTAGGCTGGATATAAGGAAGAAATTCTTTACAATGAGGGTGGTGAAACACTGGAACGGGTTGCCCAGAGAGGCAGTGGAGGCCCCATCCCTGGAAACACTCAAGACCAGGTTGGACAGGGCTCTGAGCAACCTGATCTAGTTAGCGGTGTCCCTGCTCGCTGCAGGGGGCTTGGACTACATGACCTCTAGGGGTCCCTTCTGACCCAAAACTTTCTATGATTCTATGATCTGCAGAATGAAGCAAACAGCACGGATGTAGACATCAGGAAGGCTGCAGACACATTTTCTAAGGAGTCAGGAAACGATGACAAGCTGTCCAAATCAGTTAAGAAAAAGGTCACTCTCCTTAAGATTGGTAATTGACAGGTATATGAATTTCCATGATCCTTCTCAAGGAAAAGGCCACACAATGCCCTTACAGTAGGGTATCACTAGTTATCTTCTCTGAATGTATGTCACATTGCAAGGCTCCACAGACAAATATGCCTTCACAAAAAATCTATGTAATACAATGGTACTGCTAGAATGTTAAAAGGACAGAGCATTCATTTCCAGGGATTCAATGCAGATTTCATATCATTCATTTATTTAACAAGTGTCTTGCAGAGCCTCATAAAGATATTCATTATGAAAATGCCTTTTCAGTTCATTGCATGACATACATAACATTATGTATATATCACTAAATGACTGCTATGGTCAATGCTGTTTCATTGGAAGAAAACCTTAACCTTAGATGCAACAATGTTATGAAGGAATGCCTGTGAACTTGTCTGCTTTCTCTGATTGTATCAGCTGGTCTAACAAAATTACTGCCTCTTCCTACAGATCTTGCTTATTTTAGCATTTGTATCATCCACAGGGATCCCCTGAATGAAAAATGTCAGTTGCATCTGACAGCATCATAAGTTACAGGGCTGTTACTGCAGTCATACAACACATTAACATCATAGTTGTGACATCTAAAGATCAAATGAAGGAAATCCAAAATTCATAACTGAATGTTAACTCTGAGTTTTAGGTTTTTTTCCAGTTCTTTTTTAACTTTTTTACGCACAGACCTAATAATAATATTATAGTTGAAAAATCTAGGGGACTGAGAGGAGGGGAAAAAAACTAGTAAATAGATGACCTAAATTCAAAATCAG